GTGAGAAGAGATGAAGGTGAGACTTCCTCTCTCTGACAGTTTCTAGGCAAAAGTTGGGAAGTGCAAGCCACTGCCATTGCCTCTCTGGGGGAAGCACAGAAGGAAAATCTCTCCCTTTGAAATGTGCACCACTCTGAATTGTGAAAGAAACAAGAATTTCTTACTTGCAGATTATTGTCCACCTGTCACTTTGCATTTAATTCTAATCCTGCTATCTTTATTTAGGCAGCATTCCTAATTAACCATCAGATGTTTTGTTTAAAAAGGATCCAGTCTGAGTAATCTCTAGTGCTACAAATTACATGAGTTAATTCAGGCAGCTTTCTCCAGTGCTAGGCTCAGATTCCAAATGTAATCAAAATGTTAAAAAACATTACAATTAATTCATGCTGATAAATGCTCCTTATCTTGTGAAATTTCATTTTGCTGAGCAGAGCAAAACATACTCAATTCTCTTTTCAGTTAATTGACAAGCTGAGGAACAGACTTGTTGGGCTGGAGGAACAGCTCTTGACAGCATAGGTTTCTATTCCAACCCCCAAGTACTTGAATTTTCGTTCAAGTGAAAAATTACATCTGTAAGCACAAGAATAGTACCACTGATAGCAATTGCATTCATCATAAGATCAAAGTAATGGATCTGTCTCAATACCTGTTGAATACCTGCTTGGGGGGAAAAAGGTAGTTTTGTTGTAATCAATAGAGAGCTCATACAGGATGCACTAGGATTCCACGCACCTCTTGTGTACCCAGCAAAGCAGGACATCTTATTACAGATCAGACCAGCAAAAGTACAGATTATATCCTGGTAGTCTCAGGTTTAATAGGTCATCTTCAGTAATCAGGTGGTGTCAGACTTGACTTACAGCTCATTTACTGACTTGTAACTTCACTCAGGTCAAGGAAGAACCAGTCAAATGGGGACAAAATCAAAACTACTTGTGTTTTTGCCTTATAAAGGCAGCAACTCCTTCAGTGAGCTAAGGCTCATGCCACAGATATCTCAGCTCATTCTCTACCTGGAAAGTTTCAGCTGCCCAATTTTGGTGTAACATGCTGCACGACCAACCATATATTATGCGTGTATCATTTTTTGGGGGACAGTTTTCTTTCTTACTAATGCACCTCTTCTGGCTGGATGCATTTCTTGTGTAGCAGACTCCACTAGCTAGAGGACAAATTCTATGCATGCCTCTATTGGTATGGTACAGTTATCTGCGTGTGGGGAGGGAATGAAGTGCTGAGTGAGCTTCTGGAACCATATATGGTGTGCAAGTTTTCATCCAGAGGCTGAGCTCATCTTTGTGAGAGTTCATAAGGCAAAGGCTAGGATTTTTCTCCCTCAAATTAAAAGCTGCACCGCTGTTATTCGATGTTCTTGTTGCCCTGAGCTGTTGTCCTGAGGATCTATCCAGCATATGGGGTCACCTACAAATTGTTCAAATCCTTTGAAGGTTTAATAAAGCTTTTCTATACATATAGGCGAATGATGGCTTAGGGCTCATCACATTGTGTGTTGACCTTTTATGAAAATATGGTTGAAAGTTTCACAAATAAATCTGGGCAGTTGGGAGTCACTAGTTTTGCTATTCCTTTAGTGCTCAAATAAACACCACGCTTCTTTTCTAATAAAAAACCCTAAAGCAACCAAAACACCCAAACTGTGCCCCAAAATAAAATTGTAAAAGTACAGTAGTATTTTTAATGAAGACCTTAAAGCCAGAGCTTTAAGATCTACTGTGTTATTTCACACTTCCATTGTGCTACAGAAATTCAGTCAAGACCATACCACAATAAAATTATCTGCTCTCACAATCGTTAACACCTCAGGATGAGCATGGTAATACAAGAATTTAACCCATATAGAATCTTTAAAAGAGGATCCTACTGTCAATTTGAAAAGCCTCTGTCTTATACCTATGTGTTCTGTTGCTAGAAAATTTCCATGGAAACTGGAAATAAATCTGGGAACAGAGTAATCAATACTGAAAATGTTTAAGGCACATTTTTACAAGTTATCTAAAGAAGTCTAGAAATGTAGAATATATATAGTGAATGGAGAAGCATTAGCAAAAACGTGCATTTATTTTGCATAGCAATTAACAATTCACTTAATGTCTTATTCAGAAAGGTACTTAGTTTTGTGTTTAGTGTTAAGCACATTAACAATCTCATTATAGAGAAAAAGGCTTGTGAACACGAAATTAAGAAGGTTTTTGAGGTGTTTTTTCTGGATGAAAGTCTTTGTACTTTGCTTTCATCATTCATGAATTGAGAATATTAATGCTTTGTTATTTCAGCTATGTAACCAGTATACTTACGTATGTTAATATACATATGCTTATGTACATTAAAGCTGCTTATACTGCTTTAGCTCTATGCATTTGAATATCAAGATACAATTATTTTTTTCTTCAAGCTCCAGATAGCTAGTTGAAGAACCATGTAAATATATAATAGTTATTTCTATCTATTATCATTATTATATATACATTGTGTTAATAAAGTATATTTAATTATAGTATATATTTAATAATATATGTCAGAGTAAACGACAGGAGGTCCATGCTAAGATTTCACAAATGTGGCCTGAAGCAGAGGAAGGTGATATAGTCTGCCCAGGTCTCTCAGCAAGGCAATGAAAGAGACTGGAAAAGCGAGGTATTGTCAGGTCCAGGCCAGGTGTCAGGATCTGTTGGATTTTTTGCCACCAGCATATTGGATAGACAGCCAAGAGCAACTTGGGATAAGCTGTCAGAGGCCTATCAGAGAATCAAGTTCATTATGTTGTCATTGTTAATGTTTCTACCAAAGAATCTTCAATTTCCATCTGGAAATTTGGAAAGACTCTCTGCAAATCAGGAGTCAGTGACAGAGCTAGTGTGCATCGGTACAAATTAAAAGTACAAAGAAAACCAGTATGAGCTCAAAGTTTGCAGTTTGGTTTTGTATTTGGGGATATCAGGGATGTTTACATATTTACTAATTGATTTCTCTGGTTTGCTTCCCTCCCCCAACCCCCAGAGGTACCAAAAACAGAGAAAACCTTTGAGGAGAGACTGATTTTGAAGGCATTCCTACTGAAGTTTGTGAATTCTTATGCACCAATTTTTTATGTTGCCTTTTTTAAAGGAAGGTAGGATAAATGCCCTTTACATACAGATATTTATGGATATAAGTATTTATGTGTGTGTGTATATATATATGTCTATATTAGTGGTTCTGTGTTTAAAAATGGGTGCAAAGGGCTACCTAAGTCTGGGACTGGCCACCTTCACCAGCTATGAAAAAATATCATAAACAGGGTTGTCTAAATCTTGTTTTTGAATGGCAGGGCATGATGTTGAGTACTGTCCTGTCTCTCTTCTAAGTAGAGCATTGTTCTGAAATGCAAACATTTTATTTTTCTTTCTAAAATAAGAATAATCCACACCTCAGAAAATAATTCCTTTCTGTTAAAAAAGGGTGTTGCATTTCTGAGTGAATGGTAGTGCTTACAGGTCTTCACTTTCCACATTTTGGCAAATTTTTCTTGAAGTATCATTTAGCAAAGAAAGATTTTTTTGTTTAATTTAAAATTATGGAACTACTTTCTCTATTACTTTCTCAATGTTTTGTACTATTCGCCCGGATCAAGTTAAATTAAGAAATAGTTATAGTCAACTGGAAGTTGCATGTTTTGGCAAATGAACTGATTGACCAAAAAGCTAATTCAGCTGTCCTGCTAAATAAGTGTGACTTCCTATGGGCTCAGGATCATTGTCTTTTGGGACCCAGTTATCCACGTTATAACACATACTTTTCAATGGGAAACTTAAAATGATTGTTTGCTCAAACTTTGGCAAAAATGTTTAAAACATCCTCTGGATTCTGTTTCATACCATTTTTCTGTTCCTTTTGGGGGCTGTAAAGTTTGTTAATCTATATTCTTCACTAATCCTATTCAGCATCATTGATTTAAGAATTAATGATACATTTTACCAGCAGTTCTAAATATTGTAAGACATTAATGAAAAGTATCACCAATTTCTTTCTTTTTTAATCATTTTTTTGTGTTGTATGCTTATAATAAAGTCAATTTCACTGTTTCTCCCTGTGTAGTCAGAAGAGCCTTGACTGTGTATAGATGTGTAAATAACTCCTTTCAGGGCATTACTCAGATGCAAGAGAATGTGAGTTAGGATATGTGTTCCCAGTTTGGTTTGTGATCTCTAATCAAGAGAGGAAGATTATTTTATTTTTTTTAACACAGAAAAATATTTTATTAAAATTATTTCATCAAGATGTAGTAGAAAAACAGTTGTAGAGGCCTACTACTTTGAAATAATTTTAAATAATCGAAGTTGAAGAGGTGTCGAGTCTTTTACAAGTCATGTTGAAGTAGCTAGTTCTGAAATATTGTAGCTAATATGAATGAACAGTTATGTTGTTAAAATTAATTTTTTCCTATTTTTATATTATTTCATATATTGTTATTGCTTTCAGATTTGTTGGCCGTCCTGGTCATTATGTATATGTATTTGGTGGTTATCGAATGGAAGAGGTAAGTACATAAGAAATTTAAACAAACACATCCTTAACAAAAAGAGATATGTGTACAGTGTATTTCAGTGGAGTCTAGACAGTAAGGGAAAAATAGAAAACATGTTAAAACAAGATGTTAAATCTTCAACATAAATGGACAAACTCCAAATTTTCCATGTGAGGCACCTCTATGTTCTTTCTTTCTGCAGTTTTGAGTACTTCATGGTCTTTCTTTGGTGAAGTTTCACCATTTCTATGTTTTACAACTGGGCACTAAGGCACAAATATTACATGATTTGACTGAGACCCTTGGGAAAACTATGGCAGAACCAGAACTTGAATCTTGCTTGTCATTCTGTAGATCACTAGAAGTCTAGCAATTTTAATAGCTTAAAAAGCTATAGCCATTTTGTGCTAAACCTGTAAACATATTTTTTTTTTCAAAATTCCTTTTAACTGCTGTGGGTATTCCCTTGAAAATCGATAGATGTACTCAAGGTTTTACAATAAAGCTTATGTATAAGTCTTTGCAGGATTGAAGACTTTCTTTCCCCTTGGGAAACATCAGGTTGGAAGAGAATTGGTGATACTGCATTATGTTTATTACATTGATTATGTAGTAAATATTTTAAAAGGAAATATAGTAGCCCCAGGGCACAGTAAGTTATTTCAGAGCTCTGCATATTTTCCATAATGCAGTTTTATGAGTGGAGATGAAATACCTTGTTAAGCATAGAATTGCAATGATCAACGAGCTCCGTGCTCCTGTGTAAATTGGTGGCAGGGGTGATGGGCACATATAGACATTGGTAGCTCTCCCAGGTGGGTACTTTTAAATTAATTCTTTTACTCTCTTCACACTCTATGGTTTTGTTTAATTACAGTGTGCTCCAGGAGGCTGTTTGATGGAACTCTGTATTCAGCTGAGCATCATTATGCTTGGAAAACAACTGATTCAAAACAATCTGTTTGAAATTGGAATCCCGTATGTATCTCAGCCTTCTCCATTACCATGTGTTATTCCTATGACACAGTAAATTAAAGGCTTGATCCTTATTCAACTGAATGGGACTTTTGCCACTGCCTTCAGTGGGTTCTAATTGAATGTGATGATATATCACATTTTTGGTTGTGATGAAATGATCTGGCAGTATTTTATGTTGAATAATTAGCTATATTTGCAGTAAATGGCTTAAAGAAAGTGATTGAATATATTAAATAATTGATCTAAATTAATCTTAGAAACCTGGGAAAACAGGCAAGGTATGATAGATCTCTTGGGAAGTTTTAGAGAAGCTTTCAGGGCAGCAGTATTGAATACAGATTAGTATAAAGTGGAGGAGAGATGGTGTGGAGAAAAGCAATAGCTCATAAAAGATGTTAAAATGTATTACTTGATCTATGACTATTTTACGGGTTTACAGATGAAGTCCACGCATTTCTAAGGCATCTATATGTCAGTATGATGCAGGAGCTACAGTGTGGGAGAGATGCTGACACTGCTTAGTGGCTGTCTGCCACAGGATGCTTAGTACACAGTGTCCTCTGCTCCAAATACAGCAAGAATCTCTCTTGGTCTGTCTCCAGTGTCAAGGGGATCTTCAGGCATTGAGAATCCACTGAGTCCTGCTCCTGCCTCTTGGGAGGTTTGCTCCTGTTTCTGTTAACTGAATCATCCTTGGTGGCAGTGGTCTATGAAATGTTGTATTAGATGAAGAGTCTGGCTTAGACACAAGCCTCAACTTCACTGAAGTTAGTCAGAATCTTTCAGCTCTGGTGTCAGTAGCTTTTGGATCACATCCCTAAGGAAGGCCTTGAAGATGCTAACTAGAAACCAAGATGAGTGACGCTTAAAAGATTATGAATTTTTTTTAAAAATGAGCCTTTTTCATCCCTTTTCCTAGCAAGAACTTTTTTTTGGAAGTAATTTAAATAGAGAGGAAGAAAAAATTCCCAAACAAATCAAATGTGGGTTATGGATGGTTTCATTGCTCTTTTGTCAAAGTTCAACAGGGAGGCCTGTTTTCTGTCTACATCTCACTAGTTTACAGTTTATTTTGAGAAAACGGTGGTAAATCATTCCCAAAATATCTGACATGTTGAAGGCTTAAAGCTTTCTCAGTGTAAAACTGGTGTGATTTTTTTCCTGTCTTCCAAAAACTTGCCGCTACTGGAGTTCTTTAATGGGGATTTTATGACATTAGAAATACTCTATTTATTATTTTTGACTCATAAGAGCAGAGGCTTATCCAGTCCAAACAGAAGATTCCTGTCAAATTATTTCTCAATTCCCTCACTACAACTCTTGGTGCAGGAATGTGACAATTCCATCCCATTTTTCTCCCTCATTTCTGCTCCCCCACCCTCCTGCCAACAACCTATGGTGGCCTCAATTTTTAAAACAGAATAACTGTTTAAAGAAACCCCATACTTTCATCATCTCCTTCACAGAGAAATAGCTCGTTTCAGTCACAATTCTATCTTGTCATTCTGAAGTAAGCACATTTGGTTTTCCTTTGCTTGTCTGCATTCTCAAGAAAATCACATGTATATCTGTAGGGCTTGGCCCTTCTCACTGGGCCTGTTTGCACCAGGAGAAACATGGTGCTTTACTGAACACTTAATTAAATCAGAGTTAGCCGTCTATTTCTGCATGGACTGCTCTATTGGTTTGGACTAGATCCGTAATGGTACTCTGTTCTACCTCATCTGCCCCACATACACAGGCACACAGACACACTTTGAGTATTGATCAATCAGATTTTCAGACAGCTGTGCATAGGTCTGCTGGACACATATAAATCCAGACCAAAAGGGACTCCAAACGTGCATGTATTGCAGAAGTACTAGTTTCGGCATATCTGTGTCTCACATGTAATCTATTATGTCTATACATGCTGTTGTTAGGAGATGTGACAAATGTATGGATAAACATATCCTCGCTCTCTGCCCTCCAGCCTTCTCATCTGGCTTCCTGCTGTATCCTATTCTTTCTGTTCTGCTACCTGTTTTCCTTGGTAATCTCTTACAGTCAGCTCATCTCCTCTGTTAGATCATCCCTTTTCTACCAATAAGTTTTTTATTTTGCTTCCCAGGATATCTCTGTCTTCATCAGGCCCTTGTTCTATTTTCCGGTGTCTACTTTTGCACCAGCTATGCACTGTGATGAACAGTCCTCCTGTGGCAGAAAGATAGATCAATCTTTTCTGTCTCCACTTTCAGCAGCTGCATTTTTTTTTCCCCCTTGCTTTGTGCCTCCTTGGAGGGAATGAGGGTCAGTGAATAACACAGATTATTCTATTGGCTCCCTGTATTTTCACTGAGGGCAGAGTACAAGTGCTGCAATCAACCTTACCCATATGAAGAGGCAGAAAGAATTATCAAAAATGGTGATTTGTCCTTCGGAATCTGGAACTGTCCTCTATATGTCTGTAACATGGAAATATCTCTCTGCTAAGTTGTATGATGTCCCAGATCAAAAGTTTTCTTCCTTACTGAAATCTGAGGATTTCAGGATTATTTTCAGAAAACCTTTTGATTTAATTCACCATAAAAACCCAAGGCATCTTTATTGCTTTGCAGAAGATCACAAAGCCTTACTCCCATTTGCTGTCTCTTTCCCTCAAAATATACTACTAAGTAGATGACAGGCTGAGTTTATAAGCAACAGCTATCCATTATGTCTCTATCACCTCAGATGTTGCCACAACTGGGAACCATTACTCAATGTCTTTGTTCTGGCTTATCCATGGTCAGTGCTGGCTGAAGAGTTATGGAGTTAAACTTCAGATGGCAGCCCTGCATTGTTTGGGGTCATTGGGACACATCCTTGCTTTTTCCTTCAACGTTTCTGGAGAAACTGCTGCACAGCTACGACAGCTGTGACTTGCTGGTCTTCTAAACCTTTCTGTGATTTCTTTTTCAATTTCTGCACCCAAGAATATCAAAACAGCTAGGTAAATGCAACAACAGTTGAATTATAGAAAACTAAACCTTCTTGAATTGAAATATGTGTTCTGTGGTGCTGGAATTCACAAGTTTAACAGATGTGAATATGCCACAGTTCATTCAGATGTCTAACATACCATAATTCTTTTACTGTTGCCACAGAATTGACCCTAAAAGGCTGCAGGGCTGGATAGCCTTAACCTAGAGTTCCTTAAGACTCCTTTTCTTCAGTTCTGTTTTTCTGAACTTATTGAAAAAAATCCATGCAGTTATTTTATTACTCTCTGTCTTTGACCTTGGTGATAAACCCTTAGGGTGAAATCCTGGCCCTATTGAAGTCAATGGCAAAACTCCCATTGACTTTAGCGGGGCCATGATTTTGGCCTTTTTATCCGACATTGGTTTCCATTACTTACTTCAAAATGTACTTAACTATGCTGGATGAGAATACCAAGAGATAATGAAATAAATTTAAAGACACCCTTTCATAGTTATTATCTTTTATGTTGCTTTTCACCTTTAATAAATTATTCTTAATTAATGGGGTATTTTTTTGCTTGTTTTTTTTTCTTTCCTGTTTTTGGTTGGTTGTTGTTTGTGGAACAGGATGAGAGGTTAAAGTCCTTTCATTCTCCCCCTGCCTCATTCTTGTACCCCTTAACTGTGAATATGAGAAGTTGTGTTCTTATATGAACAGACCGTAAGAATATGACTGAAGAAAAGCCTGGACCTTCAGTGCTCCTTCCCCAAAGCAGCAAAAAAAATTATGGGCAAGGACACAAGACTCTGAGTCACTGCACTTCCTTTTCTCTAAACACAGGTGCTCTGGCTACTCAACCTAATAGTATTTCTGTGCTTTCTACCTGTACCCTTTTCCATCATGCTACAAAGGAAAAAGCATCAACTGGAAAGATAACCTTAAAAACCACCCTGGGAGCTGGATCCTAGGGCTTTTCTGTCTTTCCATGTAGAGTTTCCGTTTGCATCTCTGTTCTAGCAAGTATTGCCTTGCAATACTTTGAATTCAGTTCTTGGTAACTGTCACAGGTGATCTGCCTTTGCAGTACCCAAAGGATTTGTTAACTGAGAGTCTTGAGAAACTGGTAAATTGATCCTCAGTTCCAATGTTTCTTGCAAGCTCTGGTGGACATACATCATGAGGACTGCACAGCCACTGAAGACAAAGACTTGCACCAACAAAATAATTTTCCTGCATCTGTCCTATTTCAACCTGCCTCCCAGCTGCCCTGCCTCTCCAGCCTCTATATGTTCTACTCTGTCTCACTCCACAAATTTCTTATTTTTCCCAAGTCATCTTCATGTCTTCTCCTAGAACCCCCAAATCCTTCTACCACTTTTTACTGTATGAATAGAGCAACTATTGAATCACCTGTCTGTTTTTTTAAAAGGAGGCTTCATATAAGTGCACCATGTCCTTGCAGCCCAGCCAGGATTACTTGATTTTGATTTCTCTCTTCTTTTCGTCATCTTTTCTCTCAAAATCTTGTGGATTCTTCAGGGGTGGGGCATTTTCCTGTAGTGATTTTATGCTCTCTTCAGATGCTGATTACCTTACATGATGGGATGCTTATTGGTTATATTAGGAATTGCAAACAGCATAGTTAAACCTTCTTCCCACCTCTTATCTAACACAACAGTTTGGTGCCAATCCCTTGTAAGAAACTGCAGCACCATTTTTAACTGCTCTAGACATAGCCTTCTCACAAAACCCTGCTCTTCATTTTCTTTCTCCCTGATCCTACATTCATTTTTCTTTCATGATATTCAGTCTTTTCAAGAATGGATCCTGCGTTTTTATATTCATTGGCAAAAGGACCAGAAATAATGGCTGTTCTACAGTTCTACAGTTTTCTCTGTTTGTCCAGATTCAAATGGCTACCAGTGGGGTCATGAAACTTTGCTGCATGTGCCTCTTCAGCACAAAACTTCTCGGAGATTCATCCTGAATGGGCAAACCTACCTCTTTCTCACTGGTAGGGCTGCCTGGCATGCAGAAATCAGAAGCTAAAATAGCTCTTGATTATCATTGTCTGTCAACTTTTTTTAAAAAATGTTGATCTGAGTAATTAAAAAACAGGTTTCACACAAGTGCATTTGAAAAGCTTACTCAGTTTTAATAACACAATCATATGTGCAGCTACAGAGTTCTGCAAAACTCATTTTCATTACCCTACTGCTGTATAGCTGGAGAATAACACTGTGCAAATCCCTGTTCTCTGTTTCTTTAACTTTCTGACACATTTCTGTTTGGTCTGAAACTTCACATGCTTGGATATGATACAAAGGTACAATTTTGGTAAAAAATTTGAAAGAATTAGTTTGGCTTGCTTTCAGTTAGTTCATCCTTAAAAAAAAATACATAAAAATAAAAATAAGAAAACTCTTCAAAGCTTAACTCAAAATGGTTAAAGGTGCCACTCCACATGCCTGACTTATAGATAGTCAGATGAAAAATTAAAAATTATTCTGAGTAACTGAGCCCTGGATTTAGTGTATTCCCAAATAAACATTAAAAACAACAACTATTGTTTTAGTTACTGGGTTCTCAGAGGAGTTATGTGTATGCATTAAACTCCATAACTCGACTCCGTGGTGCTATAACCAGAGGATTAGATCACACATGTACAGACTTCACATCTAAACACACCCAAATTTTATCTCAGCTGCTGCACAGTGACAGCGAGATGCTCTTCAACCGCATCTGCCCAAGGAAATGTGAGGAACATTTATAACTCATATCATTTTATTGGAACAGAAATCAGCACTGTCTTGAACTTATTGTTCACTGTCCTCTGAGAGTCCCTCACATTAGCAAATTAATTGGGATATGCTGGAAGAGCATCCTGGGAATTCTTTGATTGTTTTAAATCCTGCCCCCAGTCTCCTACCTTCTGAATACTACATCACCTCTATCACAGACAAGTTCCCTTGATTGCCATAAAAGCAGCTGACTTTGCATGATGTAAATGTCTTTGTAAGGATCCATCTAATTCTTTCTTGTGAAGTATTTTAAATCTCCCCACCATTTTATTAAAACTGTGTAAACTGAATGTTCTGGGTACTGAAAGTATTTGCTTAGCCCCAATATATCTGGCTGTTGCCGAAGTACTGAGGATGTTGCCATCAGACTTATGAGCTACGTCTTAGCTACACCTGGAACAAAAGCTGCAGCTGATCTGTTGATTTTTGCAGCTTTGTGATCCTGGGACTGACAGGGCCTGATGCAATCTAGATCTGTTTTAAGAGTGTCTGCCAATCCCCATTTCCTCCATACTGGTGATGAAATGGAATGGGTCCTGTAAACACTGGTCTACACTTGTAGAATTTCTACACTTGTAGAAATTCTGCAGTCACTGTGGTCATTTCCAGGCTGCTATAGAGCCTTGCACTGTGTGGTGACACGGTATTCCTCTGTGGCTCAGTGTATATGCAGGAACAAAGCAATAAACCTACCCAGCAAAGTCTTTAGTGTGTTTGCCAGCTAGCCTTGCCCTGCTACTTAAGTTAGGGTCTGAGAAAGAGGTTCTGCTTAACTGGAGGTACAAATGAAAACCCCTACCATTTCCCCATACATTCCTGTCTCCAGGCCACACATCTCTAGTTCAAAGGATTTATAGCAAGCTGTGGGGGAAAAGTTTGTGTGAGAGCCCTGCTTACAATTCTGGCAAAACATCACTGGAATTAGTCTGGATTTTCACTTACATGGCATATATGTGAAGAGCTATAAAATAATATTGTGCATATTTGTGAAAGACAAATTTCATCTGCAGAATGAAGGTATACCGTAAGTATAAATGTTGATGTTTTATGTTAATTCAACGTATTTCACTTCCTTGATTTTGAAGAAATATCTCATTCTGTTGCATTTTTCCATGGGAATTTCTCAATGTGTAAAATAGCATGAAGTTATTGACGCATATGCATTTAAAATGTCATCTGTGGGGGCACTGGGAATACTTCACTCTTCTTTTAGAGGTGGATTCATTTTACTCTGGGATTATACTACTTATGAAATTGATGCATTTGTCAGTGTCATGACATTTGTATCCCCATCTCAGTGGGACAGTGATTGCTACCACTTTTCCAAAGAAATACTTGCACAAATAATTGCCCACCCATGTGAGTAATTTATAGTCTGGCCAAAATGGACAATGTTATTGCAAAACGTGGTCAAAATGAGAACCTCTGATACAACCTCTTCTGATCTACGGGAGCTGGGAGACATAACTGAACTGTATTTACTTAAGAAATGGTAGGAAACAGTTTTGGTTTCCTGCTTCAGAGGCAGTGAAAACTCACCAGCATAGTTGGTCTTGCAGGTAGCAGTAATATTTCCTGACTGAAATGGGGAATTTCCAAGTCTCACCACAACAGTGGTAGTGCGCTAGCTCAGCGGTCCACCTTTATACGCACTGCGGCATATCTGAAGGAAAATTCAGAACCTCTAAACCTCTTATGAGAAATCTCAGAAGGAAGATTATACAGTTGTGCAAGTACATAAAGCATCTAACTCCTGGTGAAGTAAGTTTTTCAGGGTCTACATAGATCTTCATACTTTGCCTTATACACGATCAGTAAACTCTCAGGAAAAAAAAAATATTTCAGAAATATATATTTTTCACATAAGCATTCAACAAATGTTTCAATTTTTATTTTAGTAGTTATAGAATTCTGTAGTTTCCAGTGGTTTAGAAATAAACTTGCAGATAAGTTCCAGTGAGTTCCAGTTCTTCCCCAGTGAGTTCCAGTATGGGTGGCATTGTGGAGTGCTGAAGAGGCTGTTACTGCATATATCCCAAGTGACAAGGATTTCTGTTTGTGCATGACAGGAATGATACACGCCTCTGAGGCCAAATTCTAGTACCCTTGCTGAAACTCTCTCATGAATCTGATTCTCTCCATTAGTTTGAACTCTGTTTGCATGTTAGGTAGAAGCAAGGGAATTGCGTTTCTCCAGGATGAAAGGCCATTAGTAAAATTAAGACATTGCTTATACTTAACATTTCATAGGTAAATATTTTGTTATTTTTATTAGTTGTAGCACCATTTTGGTTAAAGAAGAGTGCTTCCCCTTTAAGGTTCCACAAGCAGCATCTTTTTTTGTCTATTTAGATAAACTCAGGTATATGTGCTTGTGACAAGAGAGCACTGGAACCTGAAGAGCTGCAGGTGTTTTCTGGTGGTCACAGGGCTGGCTTTAAATCAATAACATTCATTTTTAGAGTCCTAAATGGCTTTGGACCTATCAGTATCTTGGAGACACTTCTTTTTGTGGTGCTGCAGATTTATTAACAGAGGTGCTCATTTCCTTTTGCTTTGAACAACAGGCAGTTTTTCTGCTAAAATATTCATAAGTCCACCAGGTTTAGGAATCAGTACATTCTTGCTTGCTTTTTGGTTGGCAATACGTATGGTCATTTTGACCTTAAAGGTATACTATATTAGAAGTTCACAAGTTTCATGGTGAGAGAAAAGTGTACCTGTGATAGATACGTGGTATGAAGGCATCACATAACCTTCTCATATTTTGTTTCTTTCTTTCAGGAGAGGTGCCCAGTGTGTTGTTTTTGAGAATATTACTTATTACTAATATTATTTAGGTCCAAGATGCTTGAGCTTTAGGAAGATGCCCATTCAACATGTATCTAGAGAGAAACAATTACTAAAAAGTACTGGGTTCAACTCCATTTTAACAGCGTTATACTGTTGTAACTTTCCTCTTGACACAGGAACACAGGAACTGCTGCCCCCAGCAGCCTGTCACTTGGCAATAAGCAGCACCAGAACTTCAGAGGATTGTGTAAACTAAGCCTATGGGGCACCAAAGCAATGTGATATACATTTTGCATTGCTGCACAAGGTCTTGGGGAATTTTGTTCCTCAGGAAGCTAAAGAAGCTCTTCAGGAAGCTGAAGGATGAAAGAACTGAGCCAAAGGAAATGGACACCAACCAATCAAAGGACCCTCAGCAATGGGATCTTGACTACATCTTGGAACCTTTCACTGGGCTGACTCCAGAATACATGGAAATGAGTAAGTTTTCTGAATTCCCTTTCCCTTTCTGCAATAGCCATAGTTTTACATAGCACCAATCGCTGTATATCATATGACTGCATGTCAAAACTTGGCATGATAAAGGGGGAAAAAAAAAAAAACCACTTGTAGCTTTGCAGAAATTACATACAAGACAGCAGGGCTATGAGACTACCACATTACCAGCATAGCAACAATGATGAGTCCTAGTATCTGTTAATACTTACACTGTGAGAGTCCAGTGTTCCCAGCTGAGAACAGTGCATAGAAACCACACAGCCACAGAATCACAAAATAGCTAAGGTTGGAAGGGACCTCTGGAGATCATCTAGTCCAACCCCCTGCTCAAAACAGGATGAGCTAGAGCAGGTTGCTCAGGGACTTGTCTGGTTGTCCAGTTGGGTTTTGAATATTTCCAGGGATGGAGACTCTACAACATCTCTGTGCAACCTGTTCCAATATTTGATCACCCCTACTGTAAAAAAGTTTTTTCTTATGTTTAAATTGCATTTCCTCTATTTCAATTTGTGCCCATTGCCTCTTGTCCTTTCACTGGGCACCCTTGAGAAGAGTCTAGCTCTGTCTTCTTTAATCCACCCAAGAGGTATTTGAACACATTGATAAGATCCCCCTGAGCCTTCTCTTCCTGTGGTAAAACAATCCCAGCTCTCTCAGCTTCTCCTTGTATGTCAAGTCCTCCAATCGCTTAATCAGCTTAGTGGCTCTTCACTGGATTCACTGCAGTATGTGTATGTCTTTCTTGTACTGGGGAGCACAGAACTGCAAAGAGCACTTCATGTGTGGCCACAGTAGTGCTGAGTAGAGTAGGAGGATCCCCTCTCTTGACCTGCTGGCATCGCTCTTCCTAATGTGCCCTGGAAGGCTATTGGCCTTCTTTGTAGCTATGGCAGATTTCTGGTTCGTGTTCAACATGCTATCCACCAGGATGCCTAGGCCCTTTTTTGCAAAGCTGCTTCCCAGCTAGTCGGTTCCTAGCATCTACTGGTGCTTGGGGTTATTCTGCCCCAGGTGCAAGACTTTGTGTTTTCCTTTGCTGAACTTTGTGAGATTCCTCTTGTACCATTTCTCCAGCTTCTTGAGGTTCTTCTCAATGGCAGCACAAACATCTGGTGTAAATCCTCACAAAACTGAAATTGCTCATTAATGTTTCAAATGTAGTAAAAATATGTAGATTCCAAAATAGAAATGTGTATTTTCTCGTAGAAGTAAATTACCCTTTACAACAGAAGACTGTAGGAATATCTTTTTAGATTACTTAGTTCATGACTGAATGTTACATGATGTTGAATCACGTACACAAGCATTCTCAGCTATGCTTAAATTAAAATCCACACACATATACAACAGGAGAGAACCCTCAGCCTGTAAGAGTTTCTCAGTCAGCTGAAAGAGACAGTGGAATGGAGAATTGTTATTCCCATTTTACTTATGGAAAGCTGCAGCATGCAGGTATTGAGTTGGCCACACTTCCAAGGAAATCTAGGGCACACTTGGGAACTATTTCTCAGTCTCCCACCTTTAATACCAATTCTTTAACCAGCACATTCTCTAGTTTCTTAAACAGCATGTGAATACTTCCTCTCCATGCATCACCCTGCTGGAGTGACTGACGTCACTAGTGGTATGCACTGCCAGACATTTGGTCGTCTTTCAAACCCATGTAAAGTAGAAGCAACTCTATTAAAGTCAATAGTATTCTAATTTTGTAAAGCTGGTACCTGCCCTGTGTATATCATCTATGTTACCTATGTGCCTGCTGTTTTTCACAATTACCTAAATTGCTGCTAAACTATGGCAGAGATCAGTACTTTTTCAAGATTGCTCCACAGTTTGCTTTTCCACATTAGAGGAGATAAGTATGTTGGTGGAAACACAGATGGAACTGGGAGCAATTCTTTCTTGTAGTGACAAGATGCCACCAATTATATATTTGCTAACCACACTGTCAGGGAGACAGCAGTTCCTGATTTCCATAAGGTGGGACCAAGGAGCTGGATCTGCTGCTTCACAGAAATACCTCTCTCAAGATGCAATGTCTATCAGAGTGGAACTGAATGCACTTTTTATTATCTGCAAGTGTGGATTGCTGACATCTTAGTGACTTGATCCATCATTTGCATATCATTAAAAGACTCTCTGATTTAGGATCTGAGGTCAATGTGTCCACTGTAAGTCATTTGAGACATAGCATTAGAGTGTTTTCTGCTATCTGGAAGTCAAGAGTCAAGAAAGAAACTGTAAAGCACTGAGTTTGTTCAAATAAAATATCATTAATAAATTATTTTCATTTTAACATTTGGCACTGTGCCATTGTCCTCAGTAGTCATAATTTAGAAGTCTGGTCCCTTCGGTATCTTGATTCTATTTCACGCAAGAGAAAATGTAACTTTTTTATTATGAAATGATGTTTGAAATTTGGAGTACAGTATCTGGCATGTATAAATGGATAGAGAGCAAACCCAACAACTAGGCATTTTTGGTATGATTCTGCGTTGTAAGGAATCCTCTGTCACCTCCTCTCAGCTTTCACTGAGATCATTTGATCACATTCATCTCCCTGCATCCACTAGCACTCATCCACTGCTCCCACAGGAGTAGGTCAAACACTGGGATAAAGGAGTACACTACAGATTAATTAGCCGAGGACAAATATCAAGCATCTGACAGAGAATTCCAAACTGAAATACATACATGCCTTCTTTTTCATTCTAAAGGGTGTTTGTTACTTTGAGGAGTATCTATGACTCAACAGAACCCAAGAGGACAGAGGTGCAAATAATTGCCAAATAACTCAGTGTTGCAGCCCTGAGACACAATCCAAGTTCAGCTGTCCTCAGGGAAATAAACCTGAGAGGAAGCAGCACACAGGGATGCTAGGGAGTAAGAGCAAGTAAGAGGCCAGGCTCTTCACACCAGATGCAAACCAAAATTGCAGTGTACCCCTCAGCCCTGTAACTGCCTCATGAGTAGACCCAGGAGAGGCAGGGGAGGAGAAAGGGGGAATGGTATGGGTGGGGGAAGAGGAAGAAGAGAAATAATGTAGGTAAACCCAAGCTCTAGGGCATAAAAGTATTCAGGTGAGAACCACAGCTTGTCAAAGGGCATGTTATCTAAAACCAGACATCTGTTAAATACTGTATGTAACAACTCCTGTTTTAACAAGCCACTATTCTCAAAACATCTGAAAGAGAATGCATTTTGTGACAAAAAAGTCAATACCATGTATGGTTTATCTATAAATATGTACAAATAGCTATATTGACTTATAGATATAATATATATTTGTAAATGTATATATGGGATTTTATATAGTGGTGGATTTATGTAAATATTTAAATATGTAAGTGTAGATGAGGTACTTTATATAATGGCAGATTTGGGGTTCTCTTTTATGGATATGTTTGTGGATCTGAACCTTGCCCTCTATAGCGCCATTAAGTTGGTAAAAAGCAGCCCTCACCTGCCATCATCTCCCTCTCAATTGTTTCAACTCACCTTAGGATCTGGCTGTGTGCTGCAGCCTCTACTACCTAATCCCCTTCTGCATATGATGATACTTCATTGAAAAATTCTCCTTTAGGATTGATTTTTTCCATGCATTACTTCAGTCCAAGATTGTTTTTCCTCCTGGAAATTTTAAGCAAACTTCTTTGCAATTTTTGAGTTAAACAATGGTGAAAAAATATAGACATTTCCCCTTGTAAACATTTTCATATGTTTTTATGCTCAGGCATAACTTGAAATGTCTGCACTTCAACATCCAAAATTTCCTTGTTAGCTAGTTCTCTCTGAGGACAAGGACCTTTAGTTATTGGTAATAAACAAACAGAATAAATACAACTGTTTATAAATATTTAATTTCTTTCCCTTGCACATCTGTGGTAGTTGATCTTATTCATTCTGGGGGCTAAAGCACGCGATCAGTTGCAGCATTCATGGCTAATTACAGTAAAAGCCACTGGCAGGGTAAGGAGGAGACAGACTTCTTTCCAGTTATAATGAGTGTGTTATAAACTAGAATCTCCCACTTTCCAAATATTATATACTGGTGTTTTCTCCTAATTGTAGTTGGACCTAATGCAAAGCATCCAGGTGTGGGAGGAAGCTCTTTCCACTCTCTGTTACCTGTGGCAAACTCCCATAGCATCTGTGATGATGCCGTCACCCTGATTCAAGACTCCTGTGTAGGAGATCACCCTTGATTCATTGGTGAGGATACCACTTAGACACAAAGGTCTGACTTGTTGGAATAACTCGTAGTATCAGGGTCTAAGCTACTGATGTTATAAATCACTGGACACTAAGCCTGTATTTTAGATTAGTCCCTTGTGCCTAGATGATAAACAATGCCGAGTGCCTCATCCTGCAGTCATTCAGGGATAATTAGATAGATGCCCTGCAAATGAATGGATGAATTACTAATCTAAACATTTGTTTACAACAGAAGAATTAGTTTCTCAAGTGAAGAGAATAGTTCACTGAGCTTTGTAGTGTGCCACAGCGAGCTATGCCCTGCCTATAGGATTCAAGACAAATGCACAGCATGTGAAACCCAAGCTGCCCCTCCCCAGCCTGCTTGTTGCCCCGGGTCCATATCACTGCACTCAGCTGTCAGATTCACTGCAGAGTGACTCAGACCACCCACACTGAGAGGAAGCACTTTGTGCAGCTCAGTACTGAACCTGTCAGCTGGGATTCTTGTGAAGGGCATCAAGCTGGAATGGTGAGGCAAGAGGCAGTTACACAGCTTATTTACCTGTTTTTCTAAATTTGATTTGAAAGGGGGAGGGAAGGGAAACAATGCAACAAGTGCAGAGGGAGCATTTTTTTTTTCCTGAATTGCTTAAAAAGGTAGAATGACTGGGATGTAAGAAGAGATATATTAAGGAGAAGAGAGAAATCTGACTGCTGTTTCAGAACTTAGTTCTTAATTTTCACACTGATTTACTCAGGCAAGATCCCACTGGTATCAGTGGCTA